TTTTATGAGATAAGTGATATATGGTTTGTTCAGTATGATTAAGTTCTTCAATAGTAGAAATTTCTTAGGTGGCTCCATAAAGTACACACATTGTGAACTGTTAAAGTTCTCTATGGTCCTCTCAGCGCCCTTTTACCTCAATATATGTGTGTTGTTTGTGTACTTTCACCACATATATAATGGTCAAATACTTAATATCCAACCTAACGGGGAAAACATTAACCTGTATTTAGGATACCCAGAAATCACATATTAAATAGGATACTCAACAAAACTGCAAGCAACTGCATCAAATATGTTTTTTTGAAAGTAACTGCATCAAAATATGTAAGAAACTTTCAACTAATAAATCTTTGCAAGTGATAAACAAGAAAGTACCTGAAGTATACCAACAGCAGCAAACTTATCCATTATTGTCTTTGCCTGAACCGGGTGCAAATTCAAAGGCTTGAGTAGCAACTCTACATTCTGTGAACAAAACAAATGATGAGATTATCAAATTGTTTCCTTTCTTTATCTTGTTTTATCAGAGAGATTCTCTGCCATTTAGTCACATATAAGGTGACTTCCCCAAGCAATAACTCGGGCTTTGGATGCAAAAGCTCATCCTTTACAGAAACCAAAAGATTCGAACATTGAATGACAAAAGCAAGCATAAAGCTGCTGAATCCCATTTAATAATCATTGTCTCTATTTGATGGCAGATATCTACTAGGTCGTGATACTAGCCATCAAATATGATCATTCCTGCACTACATGTTTATACCGAACATGTTGCAAACATAATAATTTACAAAAATTTAGATCAGTAACCTAGAATTTCTGCATATAGGCATAAGCACCGACCTTTGATGTAAAGCATTCATCCCAATATGTGTACTTGACATCCTTAAGCTTCCCCGTCTTACAAAGATCATCGATAAAAAGCTTCACATGGACAGCCTAACGCAAGGGAGAAACATAATTATGCGCTGGATTCTTGGAACAAGTGGATAATAATACTAAAAACTCATGGGATAAAGACACACATTAGGAACGGTCCGTTGTCGGTCAAAAGGATAGCCAACAATGAAGCCCTCCAGAGAAAGTTCAGAGATCTGCACATGAGAAACAAATGACTCATCCTTGAGAGATAGAGCAGCATAGGTATGATATGACAGTTTATACAACTTGAGAAGCAGATCAGGCAAGATGAAGATACTAGAAATTCAGAAGGTCACACCAAATCAAACAAAAATCATATTATATCATCTGCCCCTTCTCCATTTACAGGTAAACAGTTTGAAGATATTGCACTGGCAACAGCCTTGAACTCTTGGATCAATTACTCTATTAGATCAATTCTCATTAGATAAGGAATTAATTCATGCACTTAATTTTTGGCTTAATTCTATATTTGGTCCCCAATTTTACGTAGATTTTAAATTGGTCCCTCAAAATTGCAAAATAAACATTCAGCATTTTATTTATTTTGAATCTAGTCATTCTGTTAACTGATTCTATTAAATACTAATGGCAGCAACTCATGGCTGCCACATAAGATCCACTTTGGCGATGTAGCATGAGGTCAAACTTCACATTTTTTTCCACCAAGAACGTTTTCTAAAAATTCTTGGACTCTCGAATTTGGAATATCATACTTTCACGCAATTCATAGAGTTCAACAAATAATCAATATTTCACAATCAAACTTCACATTTTTTTCCACCAAGAACGTTTTCTAAAAATTCTTGGACCTTAGAATTTGGAATATTCTACTTTCACACAATTCACAGAGTTCAACAAATAATCAATATTTCACGATCAAGAGTATAGTACTAATTGAAGTACTGATTCTTATATATCGTATTAACAATCAAAATATGGTCGAAAGAAAAAATCTCTATTTGACAGGATTTCTTCCCATTAAGCTTTTCAAACTTGCTGAGCCGACCCAACTCAGCATTCTTTCTTTTTCGCTTTTTACTTCAGCTACCATGCTTGTTGAAAGTTGCCATTGTTTCCTCATCTGCTTATTTACAGCCAAAACACAGATGCAAACTCAATGCCCTATATGCCCAAACTCAACCCTACATAAGAAGTTCCTATGTAATAGAATCAGTTAACTAATGACTATAACATAAGAAGTTCCATCCCATCTTGAACTTCTTTGCTGGTAACTTGAATTCTTATTTAAAGAAATTCAAAGTAAGAACAGAACTGGCTAAAAATAAAAATCTAGTAATACTTTTACATATCAAGCCAATATGAAAATTAAGTATAGGAGTTAACTAGGAACAAAATGAGAATTGACATAAATGAGACCTTAGAAACAAGGCACTCTCACTCACAATTTCCTTCTCTAGAACATATTCCCCAATAGAGTTAATATCCCAATGCCTCCAACAAAATCCACTAAAAAACCGTAGGAGTAAGGAAAACATAAATAAGAAGCTGAATAAAGATTCATAAAACCCACCAGGCTCTGAAAATCACCAGCCATCAAATCAATATTTGTTTTCTTCCTAACCAAAACACTGCAGTGCAACAATAATGCATGTTATGCCACAAGAAAAGTCAATGTAGCATTTCAACAACTAACAACAAATAAAAGGCAAACGAAAACTATAAGATTTAAACTAATACAAAACAATCAATAAATAAAGCTTGAGTTTGAAGAAATAATTATTAGAGCAAAAATCTATCATATGGAGTCAGAATAGCGTCCTACCTTAAAGGTGAAGCAATTTTGTTTTGCGGGTTTGAAACAGCAAGCCCAACATACCTATCACCAACATCTAACCCAAGCAAACGGCCTCGTTCTAATGCTTTTGTTTCCAACAAATCACGGAACAAGTTCAATGGCTTCAAATACCTCATCTATTGAAAATTCTACAAGATACACGAGATTTTTCATTTTTTTTTCTCACTATTTTCAAGTGTATGATAAATCAAATATGTGTATATGTATACAATATATTAATGCTCGGAACATATGTGTCTGGGTGATATTATATATATATATATATATATGTAGAGCTTGGTGAACCGGATTCAGCCTCTGCTTGAGACCAAACAACCGGGAACGTTAATCAGATAGGAGAGACCTATTGCATGGTTGCGTGAGGGGATTGCAATAGACGGCTGGAGTGAAAACGATTTGGGGTTTTTCTCAGGGAGGGAGAGGGCTCGATTGTGTGAATGAGCAGATGGTGATTGTTGAGAGTGAGAAAAAGAAGCACAGAAGAGTAGCGACAGGAGAGAGGTAGAAGAAGAGTCCAGTGAGACTGTGAGATAAAAGATGGACAGGCTGCTTTACAACGAGGAAGTTGCAGTGGCTTGGAGAAGGAAAGAATATCCAATTCACTGCTCTGCATACTTAAGTACAAATATGGAGAAGAAACACGACTTTACCTGGCTTAATCCAATGGAGATGGAACCGCTAAGCAGTGAACCCCTGTAATTGTGTCCTTGATCGCAGGTTGAAGAAGAAGAAGAAGAAGAAGAAGAAGAAGAAGACAGGCTTTCCGCGGCGAGAAGAACGGAGCTTCGGTCTCCACCGCCGCACTCTCCTTTCTATTATTTCTTCGGATTTTGATGGGCCTGCGTTAATTACAAATGGGCTTTTTATTAAAATTAGCTGTAAATTAATTAATTATTAATTAATTTTTCATTTTAATTTAGTAAATAAATTTATGAATTTTTTTTTTTAAAATATTTTTTAAAATATTTTTTTAATCTCTATTTTTAATAATATGAAAAATTATTACTTACCGAATTTTAATATTATAATTTATAATATATTTATTTTTTAATTAAATTTAAATTCATAATTTTTAAATAAAATAAAAAAATTTCAATCATTAAATTATTATATTATTTTTTTATCAAACATAAAATACAACTAAATAAATTAATAATTTAATAATAATAATGACAATAAATCTCCCATCATATGAAAAGAAAATGACAACTAAATTAAATAAAAATTTCTCCAAATTTTGACATCCACAACTTTATAAAGTGTTATATTAACACATTAATTTATTTATATATTATTTAATATATATTTATTTACCTAAATAAAAATTAAAAAAAGTAAATATATATGTCAAAACACGTGTGCGAAATAACGTAATAATAATATTACAAAATAAAAAAAAATCATAAAATTCACAAGCAATTTTTTTTTTTCTCCATTCAAAATTACACGTGGACCCAGCTAATCTCCTTTAAGTCGAATTTGCGGAGAAGACTGAGTCGTAGGTTAAAAAAGTTGACATTATCGACGGTTCAGATTATTCGTCTGGATGAACTCAATTGTAGCGGATCATTTCTCCTGTTCACTGAATCTTGAGTGCTTTCCTAGTTTATTTCTGGGACCCACAAAGCGTCGTTGTTGGTAAACGCAACCAAATGAAAAAGGAAAGCATCATTCTTCCTGTCAAACTTTCAGGTCCCTCCATAAAAAAAAGCCACGAAAGCTCCATGAGTCGACCAAGTTCTCTGCTTGTTATGTAAGCTGTAACCAAAGAACAACTTCTTTTCTTTCTATCATTTCCGAAATGACCGAACTTTGTTATCTCTTCCTCTGTTTACCCAATCTAAATACCCATCATAAAAGCTGAAACTGGAACTGAAACTTACAGAATTGTTTCTCTTTCTTTCACGAAGGGATAGAGAAGGTTATTATGTTGTGATCACCGGTGTGATAAGAGCTCTTCTTTCTGATTCCTGCAAGCTATGGCGATGGATTCGGTTAATGGGTTTGGCCACCACTGCAAGGAGACGACGGCGTCGTTTAAGAGCTGGGCGCAGCAGACGGAGGAGAGTTATCAGCTCCAGCTGGCTCTGGCGCTGCGGCTTTCTTCGCAGGCTGCTTCTACCGGTGATCCCAATTTTTTATTTTTTAATCCGGATGAGAATCGAGAAAGTGGCTCGTCTTCTGGTTCTGCAGAGGCTTTGTCTTATCGATTCTGGGTACCTCTCTTCTTCTTCTCTTTTTTGGCGGCTTCCAATTTTTTGGGCTGGTTTGTGGGTCGATCTGTTAGAAGATCTGGGTGGTGTTTGATTGCCGAGAAAATTCTTGATTTCAGTTGCATTTGGTTTGATAATAATGTTTTATTGAAATGTTGAGAAAAAGTTTAGCGAGAGGGGTTAGCTTTTCCTCTTGTTTAAAATTAAATGAAGGCTTTTGATTGCATATACTTGAAAATTTAAGCTATGATCAATTTGACTAGAGAATGATTGAGCACCTGAATAGTAGTTTAAATGGTAGAAAGCCACTGAACTAATGAACAGTAGCTTTTGATTGCATGTATTTGAAAGTTTAAGCTACGGTCAATACGATTAGAAAATGATTGAGCACCTGAATAGTAGCTTTTGATTGCATATACTTGAAAATTTAAGCTACAATCAATATGATTAGAAAACGAATGAGCACCTGAATGGTAGTTTAAATGGTAGAAAGCCACTGAACTAATGAACTTGAGGGTCGAGTTAGAGGTACTCCATTTATGCTGTATCACGCTTCAGTTGGTGCTTAGGTGAAGCCATTAAGATTTGGTTTAAGTGGGTAAAGGGACAAGGATACCGTCAAGCAAGTCTCTTTTATAATTGGAGAATAAATGGATTTTTTATGTTCTTTTTGTTTGTTTGGCCCTTTGTTTTGTTTAATGTGTTAGTTTTTCTGGATTATCTCTTTGAGCATTTATGTCGAGCTCTTGTTATAAGAATTCATCCCGTGGAAACATAGTCTAGTAGATTCACATGTACATGATTGACAGCGCTTTGTGGCCCTATGAGACATTATTTGCCAAGAATAGAGAGATGAGTTACTTATTAATAGTGTTCTGGTGTAATGGTTAGTCTAACTTCGTTTCAGGATTTCTACTTCATTAGAGAAAAATTGGTTAGGAAATGAATGGATTTGTTTATGTTCTTGTTGTTTGTTTGGTTTTTCTTGCATTTAGCACGACTCTTTCTGGATTATCCCTTTGAGCATTAATACCAAGTCCTTGTTATATGACTTCCTCCTGTGGAAACATTGTCTAGTAGATCCACATGGACATGATTGACAGTGTTCTATGGCTTGGATAACATTATTTACCGCGGAATTAACAGATGACAACTTGCTGATAGTTTTTTGATGTTATGGTTAGTTTAACTTTGTTTCTGGATTTCTACCTCCTGAGGAACTCACAAGTATTTTTGATCTTACTTGAGTAATTGAGATTGATTTTTCTCCCTATCCTATGGAAAAGTTAATATCACTTTTTTTCTTAGCTGTTTTAATGGTATTGTTATTTCCTTTAAATGATATTTTGTGATACACGATACCAGTAGTAACTTTGTATCATTTTCTGCTTTTTATGAGCACTAGGTACATGGCTGTCTGTCATACTATGATAATTTTCCAAATGGCTTTTATCTGATCCATGGGATGGATCCATATACGTGGTCTATATGTACTGACCAGCCAGAGATTAGCCAAATCCCATCATTGGAATCACTGAAGTCTCTCGATCCTAGTGATGATTTGTCAGTGAATGTGGTCTTGATCGATAAATCTAAGGATCCTGGTCTGAGAGAAATACAAAATCGGGTACTTAGCCTTTCTAATTCCTGGGTCACTGTAAGAGATGTTATCCATCAGCTAGCAAATCTTGTCTGTAACTACATGGGGTGAGTTTCTAGTTACTGCTATTTTGAAACTTCATCCTAGACATTTCAATGCTGCAGTTATTTTGAGCTAGCTTTCATTGTAATCACAAGGGGTACAGTCTCTCCTGTTGAAGATGGTCTTGGAAGACGCTGGAGTGAGTGCACCAAAGTTCTGAAGGACCGCTTTGGCTCGGTTGTACTCCCACTTGGAAGCTTATCCATTGGCCTCTGTGTCCACCGGGCATTATTGTTTAAAGTAAATCTCATAATGGAACTGTATTAGTTTAGTTTCATTGGTTAATGATTTTCTAATAATTATTGTTTCATTGCATCTTCCTAGATGGTCCTCCTGTCTCTCATTCTTTACTTTTGTAGGTTTTGGCAGATATGGTCAAGTTACCATGTCGAATTGCTAAGGGCTGCAAATATTGTAGAAGGGATGATGCTTCCTCCTGTATTGTGCAATTCATCGATAGGTATAACAATTATATTATGTTTATTATTTTCTCAATTACTGAAATGGTTTTAGGCAGCTACATACATGGTTTTTAATATGTTTCTCACTTTGTACTCATGAAGGAGAGTAGCTTTGAACTACCAAAGTTGGTCAATCAGTCACTGTACATTTCAATCTGTTAGCTTAAGTGTGTATAGCAACACAAGGGGGGTGAAATAGGTATTTCAAATTTAAATAACTTAAAGTAAGAACTCAAGCACCAAGAGCAAATTAATTAAGCAAACAAAAGCTCATTCACAATGCATAGCTAAATTGAAATGCATAAATTGAAGAAAATAGGGAAAGTAAATTGCAAATCAATTGGAGTGGTTTGTATGAGAACTAAGGAACAAAGACAAGCTAAATTCCAGTTTTTTATAGGCTTCTATTTCATACGATTGTTCTGATTGAAGCATAAAATGTATTATAGTTTAGTTTCAAATATTAATTCTAGGTTTGGAAGCAGTTTACTTCAAGTACAGTTGATACATAGCTCTAATCTTGTAGTTGTAGGATGATTACCCTGTCAATCCAGGATTTAATTGGTGTCATGATTGAATAATGATTCTAGCCATAGAAAACAGTTAGTAGCTTCTACGAGGAGGAGAATCATGGAAGGTAAATATCCGTAAGTGTTCCCTTATTTCATATATATATAGATTTATGAGTTATAAAATTGTAGAAATTTTCCTTGAAAGGATAATGAAATTGTAATTGAAGATCAATTTAATGGGAAAATAGCAATTAATTACTTTTTTTAGGAAAAAAGATGTACCAATTAATTTACATTAAATTTTTAGTAAAAATTATCATTTTATTTCTGTATCAGATAATATATATACTTGGTTAAATACTTTTCTCCAAATTTATGGGAAAAAATTTTAAAAACAATAAAAGAAAATTTATAAGATATTTTCCTGTTGTCCTTACATTTCAAAATAATAACAATATAATGTCATTGGGGCAGTTGCCCCCACAGGGGTTCTGGTTCCCAGCACAAGGAAGCTTTCAGTGGGATCATTGTCTCCCTCCTTACATCTCAAGTTTTATTATCATTTTTTTGAAATAAAAAGTATAAAATGTATTAACAAGATACCAAATGAGTACCACCCATGTATAAAATCATTTACAAATTAGTTAGAAAATCAATGACATTCCTAAAATCGTTCATTCTAAATATGTCATGACCTAAAATAAAAGAGTCAAAAGTATTAATCCATGTATCTGTAATATTAATAGTCTCCCTCTCATTGCGCTCAAAAGCTCTAGCATTTTTCTCCTTCCAAATCACCTAAAACATTGACAGTGGGACAAGCTTAAGATAAGTTTTCTTCTTGCTAATTCCAGCCTGTGCCCAAAGCTCTTCCTTCACTGACCCTGCCATCAGATAATTGATTCTAAGGAGCCCATATATCATGCACCATAAGTTATACACAACTTGGCACCGTAAAAGGATATGGTCGCAAGATTTGCATCCATCTTACATAAAAAACATCAGTTTACAAGATTACATAAAAAAACCTTAAAGAATATGGTTGCAAGATTGCATCTCAAGTTTTAATTATCTATCTCAGATCGCATAAGAAACAGGGTCAGTTTTTTTCTTTTTGCAGCCTCGAGCTGTGATGAAATATAAACTGAAAATTATTTCTCTCGGAAAAACCTTAAGATGTATCACACTTTTTTTCTGTGACTTTTGACTGTACACTGGTGATTACTAAACTGACATATAAACCTAATCAAATAGACTTCACTCTACTATACTGAACTCACAAACCTAATCAAATAGACTTCACTCTACTATACTGAACTCACAAACCTAATCAAATAGACTTCATTCTTGCAGGCTTTGGTTGTGTGCAGATGGTTGTATATCAGGTGTTAGAGTGCTTGTTTTAATGGTCTATTGTACATAAGTTGGATTTTCATTGTAAGCAAGCTAAGTTGCTCGACTGATAGCTGTTTTGGCCAGATATGGCGAGTGGTTGTTTATCTTCAAGTAATATTCAAGTGATTTTTGCAGGATAGCTTATTGCCTTTTAGCTTGTATTTTCCCTTTCTTCAACTAATATATTTCATTTTCTATCAAAAAAGTTCAAGTTGATTTCGTGTTTCATGATTTTATATTTTATCTTTTTAAGAACTTGAAGTAGCCTTTTTAAGGTTTCACTTCTAATTTATTTCCAATAGTATCTCATTAAGTAAACTGAATGGCTAGAATTAGGGATAGATGGGTACGTGTTTTTGATTCTTTGATTTTGGGTCATAGCATCTGTAAGTCGGAGTATTTTGGGAATGACATTTATTTATTAACTGAGATATAAATATTTTGTGAATAGGTGGCACTCCCTTGGTGCCATATAATGATACTACATTCTTTTTATCTAAAAAAAAAGGTATCTCGTTAAGTAAACTAAAGGGGATATCTTTCTCTATGTGCTAATAACTAATGCGTACCATTACAGGGAATATTTGGTTGATTTGTTTGGAGACCCAGGAGCCTTGAGCCAGCCTGATTCCTTGCTCAATGGTGCATCTTCAGTCTTAGTTTCTTCACCGTTATGTCATCCGAGGTTTAAACAAGCTGAAAGTGCTATGAACTTCTGCGCATCAGCCAAAACGTATTTCTTTGACAAACTTTCACATAAGCTTGAATTCAATGATGGTCCCTCAGGTGATTACTTCATCTTTCCAGGCATTTACTACGAAACATATTTTTATGTTTAATTACTTGAGGTGGTTGTCACTTGAAATTGCGAGTTTTTCTTCTAAGCTGTTGCCTTTAGTGCATTTCACTCGTATACCTCATTACCTCTCTCTTTTTGTGGTAATTTCTTGACAAGCAATATTATTATTCCATCTTTGTTTCAGTTCTAGTGGTGAACTGATACGGTTCTGTGTTAAGTACTAGAAATTTTATATTCTGTTACCTTATATTTTTTATTCAAATTCAGTGTTATTGAAAAGAATAGTAAGCATAGGGGAGAGTATTCGGTCAGTTTGGTTAAAAAATTTCAAAAACTGAAGAATTTGACTGAAGTGCCATAAACGATCGAGCCAACCAAATTATCTGTACCAATCAAAACTGAACCAACCAAATAAACTCGGTCGGTTTGGTTAATAACTGAATAACCAAAAATGAGTTAACAAAATTTATTTTTTTTGAATTTTATCAACATATTAATTAAGAACCTTAATTAAGCATATATGTACGAATATTAAACGATATATATATATATATGTATAATTATTAATTTAATATATGTAATTATTAATTTTTAAAAAAAATTGTAGTAATTTAATACTTATTTATTAATTTAAAATAATTAAAAACCTTAATCAGCTTTTCAGTCGGTTCAGCTTACAATTTTTGCCGAAACCAAACCAAGTAAGAGATAAGTTTTGTGGCTTCTAACCGATTCAACCAAAAAATCCAAATGAACTGAATCTTTCTCCCCAATCGGTTTGATTCATTCAGTTTTTTCTTTTGGTTCCGTTTTTACTCATTTTGTGGTTTGTCTTAAGTAATATAATCAACTTACTATTCTAAAAGCTTAAATCTATAGAGGAAAAGACAATATAGTGTCTATGTTAATATACTCCTTCATGTAAAGTCCATTAGGTTAAAAGTGTGAATGAAGCACCAAACTTCCATATCTTGTGCTGAATTTATTTTCTTTTTTCAATTCAAATTTGTGGCAGTAATCATGATTTGAATTCTAGATTTCTAGCTTTGGTACAGTTTTAAATAATAAATTGAAGTGATTCTGTTAAATACTTAAGCTGATAGGAAATATCGATTAGTAGCAAAAAAAATGTTAGACAACTCTCTAAGAAATGGAAAGGAAGGATCACTATGCAAACTTGATATAGAGAAGGTTTATGATCGTATATTATGGAGTTTCCTCTTGTACATTCGAAAAAAGGTTGGGTTCTGGACCTAAGTGACGCTCATGGATGAAGTCTTGCATTACCACTACCTCTTTTACAGTTATGGTTAATGGTGGACCCTCAGGTTTCTTCAATGCATCTAGAGGTCTCATATATTTAGATTCTCTAACCTTACATTTTATAATTGTAAGGTTCTGAAAGATTGATTAGCAAAGCCAAAGAAAATCAGTTTGAGGTCTACCAGCTGAGGAAAATAAAGAAGAACTGAAAATGATTCATTTGTTTCTTGTGAATGATACACTACTTTTTTTTTTTAACCCGTCACATAGGAGATGTTAAAAATAAGAAGTGTTCTTCTTTGTTTTCAACCAGTATCTAGACTCAAGATCAGTATAGCCAAGATTGAATTGGTACTGATTGGAGAAGGGAAAAATGTAGATCTTCTTGCTGACATTTTGGGTTGTAAAAGTGGCTTCTCTACCTATAAAGTATTGGGTCTGTGATGTAGGGCAAGTAATGATAGAAACCATAATACTTCCTTCAAAATAGAGACATAAAGAGAAAATATAGGGAAGAGAATTGAACGCTAGATAGACAGAGAGAAAAAAGGAATCAAGGTGGAGAATTTAGAAGAAAAATAGAAGAAAATTAGGCAGACATGAAAAATAAGAGACTGAAGGAGATCTTGGATCTCAAGGATCAAATTAGTGACTCAATTTTTACATAATAATCATGAATAGTCTCTAAATATACAAAGATCTGGTATCTTATTTATAAGCATCAAAATACAATCAAAATAGGAGTTCAATAATCTATCTAGGAATTCTGTAAAATAGGAAAATAAACTAATTAATTGAAATAACTTATAGTAGAAAATAACTAAATAAGATCTCAGTCAATTCTTCACTTAGGCTTTTTTTTTTCTTTTTTTTTTTCACATGGGAGGCGACAAGAGGTTCTATGTTTACTTTCGATGATCTTACCGAAAGGGGAATAGGTTTGGTGAACAGGTACTAGTTGTGTAAGAATGATGCGGGAACAGGAAACTATCTTCTTATATGTGCCCTTTTGCATCTCAGCTTTGGTCTATCGCATATAGCTTAATAGAGTTAATTGGGTAATGGCTGGTTTGGTTAGAAAAGAGATTTGGACTCTGATTATTGGGAGGAAAGAAACAGAAGGGCGTTTAAAGACAGAATTTTTTTTTATAGAGTAAATGATACTTGGTTTCAGACTAAGGTTTTTTATTAAGAGGCTTTCTCTTTACACTAGTGAGGATTTAGGGGATTTGGTTGACATATTAATAGACTTGTAAAGTTTTTGTTGCGCCTCTTGGTGCCTTTTAATCTATACTTTTTATTTTAAAAAATTTATTTGAACATGTATTTGTTTTGACTTGGAAATTGTTAAGACTAGTGATCTGTATGTGCTTGGTAGCTTTGCCATGATTTATACCTGCCATCTATACATAATTTGTTTTATTTTCCTAACAGGTACTGCTATTAACCAAGAGGTCAAAACTGGTTCACAGCTCAGTGAAACTTCTGATATAAAACATTTTAACCAGAAAAGCCGATTATCGAATAATAATCAGCCTTTTCTACAGAGGGCTGCTTGGAGTTTCATGCGTAATAAGGATATGCAAATTCAAAACTTATCTAACCTGTTTCCTAAAGTTGTCAACTTTGCACAATTGGTCAAAGGTCCCAGCTTGCCAAGTTTGGCTGTATCTATTGGGTCTAGTCCAATGCCAAAAATTGCTGTCAATTTGGAGTGTATGGAAGCGAATCAAGCAGCAATAAGTAAATCAACTAGTGGACCTTCTCTGAAAGAGGAAGATTTGGATATTCCATGGAGTGAATTGATATTAAAGGAGAATATTGGAGCAGGTAAATTAAATGATTATGAGAATAGAAGGACTTTACTGCTGCATGCTTTAGCAACTGTTTACCATTTTCATACATCCAATATTATATTAGTTTATAGATAGTCTATAAAACCTCAGATGACGGATACTGATACATACTTCTCAGGTTCTTTTGGAACTGTTCACCGTGCAACTTGGCGTGGATCAGTAAGCTTTAATTTCCTTCTTAAATGCTTTCTAAGTCACAATTTAGCAATTTGTTCAGAAAATTATTTGTGTGCTTCTGTTAGCATTATGCACATAGTAATTTGTTCATGAGAAAGTACAGAAAACTTGACTCTTGTATGATTCTTTATTGTAGGACAGGAGTCCTGTAGGACTTCGACATCTGCTGTTTCGTATGTGGACAAAAAATAGTAATTACATTCATGTATAATAAGGAAAATATTCTTAAGGAAAATATTCTTATAGAGATTCAAATTTACTTAAGCTCCAGAAGAAACCCAACATTCTAATTAACTGGATGAAGGAAAATTAGTCCATGCATCTAAATGAAAGATTCTCACTATTGTTGCTGAAATATTCTTTTTCTGTTCTTTTCTTGGGCCTATTTTCTGAGTCTAAAAATTGGAATTTCCTTTTACATCTTTTCATTTAAGGGATGGATTTTTCTTGCCTTTCCCTTTTTAATTGTCTAGACATAATAAATTATATTTCTTGATTCTTATATGGGTGTGTTGTGAAAGACACACTGTGCACCCATTGAACACAATGGGAAAAGGGATTATTTGGATGGGCATCTTATCCGAGGGATATCAAATTAAGGTAAAGACATAATGCCTTATAGGGAACTGGGGCCCCCAATGTCTAGCCCATTGTGCTACATGCAGACCTAAAAATCAGAATGATAATTCAAGATAGTTTCTTCTAACTTTCTTCCCTCCTTTAGAACTCTTTAGATAAGTATTCTTCTAAAGTAACATAACCTGAGATATTTTACTCTCATAAATACTGTCATTACTCGAAGTTGGCAAGAAAAAAGTAGCAGACTCATTTTTATTAAATGAAGTTGGGAATTCCTTTCCTTAAAAAATACTCCCATCCATCACATAGATACTCCTTTTTTGTTTTATTATTTCTTGTTTTTTTTTGTGCGGAAAAGACAACCAGATTAGTATCCACTTTACATGTTCAGTGTCTTTTATTTCACAAACTTTTTTCTCATGCTTTAAGAGCTAAATGCTATTTTCTCCTTTCATCTTTATCACACGTTGGTTTGGTCGTATCACCTTGTATTCTCCTTTTTTGCTATGTAAAATTTACTTTGGTGGAATATCATGTGGTTCTTAGGATGTTGCTGTCAAAATTCTTATGGAGCAAGATTTCCATGCTCAGCGTGCCAGTGAATTTTTAAGGGAGGTAGGCATGATCTACTTTGTGCATCCTAAGAACATGTACATTTTAGGAACAATGGGAAAGTCTAATTCCTATTTCTTAAGGGCCGATTGGCTGTTCTTCTGCTGCTTTTCTAGAATTGATCGTGCTTTGCTGCAATCCTGTGGTTTGCTAGGTTGCCATGATGAAGCGAATGCGGCATCCAAACATAGTTCTCTTCATGGGTGCTGTTACTCAGCCCCCAAACTTGTCCATAGTTACAGAGTATTTATCAGAGTATGGGATAATTTCTGGAATTTTTATTTACGTGTTTCTCTTAATTAGTTCATGTCAAACGGCAGCCTTCTGTGTAATCAGTCCTACAAGTAACTGAAAAGGATATTTGCTTTTTCATTGCAGAGGGAGCTTGTATCATCTTCTGCGGATGCCTAATGCTGGAGAAATACTTGATGAGAGGCTTCGCTTAAATATGGCTTATGATGTGGTATGAATCTGTGACCAGGATGTTTGTTATGCTGGAGCCATTACTAGAAATATTAGGATATTAGTTAGGAAGTGCTAGGAATTATTCCGCACTTGATGTATCCCCAGGCTATGTGCTATCCCCCATCCACAGTTTCTGACCCTGTTTGTTGCTCTGTATAGGCAAAGGGAATGAATTATCTTCACCAACTTAGGCCTCCGATTGTTCATCGTGATTTGAAGTCCCTCAATCTGTTAGTGGACAGTACATATACAGTTAAGGTAAGTTCTAGAAATCTGCTGTGATATACTCAAGGATTATTCACATTATTTATTTTCCAAGTAAATTCCTTTAGCAGATATTAAGTAGGTAATGAAAGTAGATTTCATGGTTATGTAATTGTATGTTAGGTACATTATCTGGAGGGTGTCCATTTTTATTAGAATGCTATTTTCATTCAAATCTTTATCTTATCTGCCAATAATCTTTAAATGGGAATATGTCCTTACCCGTAAATTTTCCTTATCTCTTTCATTTTTTTTTCTTTTGTTTTTGGTTTTTTTTTGCCTGGAGGACATCTTATCCTCTCATGTCTTTTGTAATGGCTTTCCCCCTCTTTAATAAAGTTTCTTTTCTTTTTTTTTAAAAGAAAAAGGATAACCATTTTTCTGATATATTTGTCACATACCAGTCCAAATATTGCATATGCAGTTTGTGTGGTGAGTCCTTGCTGCCTACAGAATGCTTTATTACTTGAAGGATACTCTGAGGAAATGAATTAAGTTCAAAAAAAATAATAGACTGCTTCTTGAAGTATACACAGATGTAGACCACGTTGGATCACCAGTTGACAGGAGATCCACCTCTGAGATTGTACTTTTCTCGAAGGAAATTTAGTGATTAAAGTAAGTAGAATATAGTAGTTTATTCTAGTACAGAATCTAAGTTCAGGACTATGACCCAAGGAATGTGTGAGGTTTTGTGGTTGAAGATGATTTAGAATACTTGAAGATCCAATGGGATGGACCTATGAGACTTTACTACGACAATAAGTTAACAATTAATATCTTATAATACAGTACAACATAACAGAACTAAATATATTGAAGTAGACAGACACTTCATCAAAGGGAAGCTGGATACTATGTTGATTTATACTCCATACACGCCAACCATTTTACAACTTGCAGATGTTTTGACTAAAAGATTAAGTAATTCTGTATTTCGGATGATTATTATCAGGATGAAAAGGGATAGTATTTATTCACCAGCTTGAGGAGAAATGTTTAGAAGTACAAATTAGGGATTGATTAGGGTAGAGAGTATATTAGTAAAATACTCTGGACCTTTGTAGTTTTTGTAATTAATATTATTTGCTTTTGTTGGTACTATTCACTTGTATATGTAATCCCTAATATTTAATGAAATATGTGACAATTAATTCTTCGACAGAATAGAATGAAAAAACTGCTTTATGTTTGATGCCTTTTTCTTTCTTTTATAACTGGGAATATACCTTAGTGCCTCCACTTATTGGTCTACAAGTATGTATTTCTTAAAATCTGGTATATTAGAAGTGTGCTAATTTTATGCAGCTTCAAATACTGTCTTTGGTAGTTCATTTCAGGCATACTTGTAGGATGAATTATTTAAACATTATCTTGGAATAAGATGCTAATTATGATTCAGGTCGGCGATTTTGGTCTTTCCCGTTTAAAAGCAAACACATTTCTTTCATCAAAAACAGCAGCTGGAACTGTAAGTTTTCATTTTGACTTTCATCGGTTATTCTGTCATGTTATTAAAATGCTGTTGATTCTGAATCTACCTATCTTGATTTTTTTTTAATTAGCCGGAATGGATGGCGCCAGAAGTACTCCGTGATGAACCTTCGGATGAGAAATCTGATGTTTATAGTTTTGGTGTAATATTGTGGGAACTTATGACACTGCAACAACCTTGGGTTCATTTAAATGCACCACAGGTTATTTATCTTACTCCTCAGAACTAGTAACCCGTAGAAAATTTGATATTGGTCGTCTTGATGGTTAATTGCTTATGAACTTAAAATTTGATATAAGGAAGCTCCTTCCAGTCCAAGAGACTTTAATGCATGGTTTATATCTCTTCTCCTGATTTCAGTATACTTCTTCCTTAATGAAAAGAGATGGTTTTACATAAAAGAGAACCTAAAGAAGGTATAGACACAATAAAATAGAGCAGATGCATCAATTATAAAGAGTCTAGGGTTCTAAATTTTAGTGTCATTAACCAAATAGCAGTACCATTCTAAAAGCTTCATCCCTGCAATGTTATGCGAGAAGTTGTAAGAACATCAGTTGTGTTGCCATTTGTTTTATTATTTCATATAGAATTCTTTTAGTAGTATTTTCTTCTATTGTAATTGTTTACAATAAATATTCTTTTTCGGCATTCAAATCTGCATTCTGGCACCTAGTAAGGCTCGCTCTTACATTTCCTGTTTATCCATTTGATGGATAGTGTTGTTCCATGTTCTAGAGAAGTTATTCATGCAGCATAGAAGCCACCAGTGAGATTTTTTTTTCCAAAAGAATTATCTCTTAAGATTAGGGTTGTTCGTCATAATTGAGTTATGGTTTATGGTCTTTTAGAGATTAATTTGGGTTATTGCAAGGTCAGTGAGGGATGAGTTATGGGCTTGGGAAGAGGTTATGTAAAAATATATATATATATATATATAAATCTTATTTCGTTGACTATTTTCTGGGTGGTTTAGAAAGAAAAAAATTGTAAAGTTCTTGAGGGAATAGAGGACGAAATGTCTGAAATTAGGGATAGATGGATGCACTATTTTGATTTTTTGATTTTGGGATATGATATTTATAAAAAAGAAGATTTTGGGAATATCATAAATATACTTATAA